CCCCACCTATGACCACATGAGGCTTTGGGGGAGCATCTAGACACAGCCATAACACTCACCCTAGGAAATGAGATGGTGATCTGCTGTAGCCCCCATATTTCACTATTTCCTGACATGGAAGGCAAGGAGAAATTACTGATGTTTCATGAAAGTTACACATGCCAGAATCATATAGTCTGGGTCCAGTCACCTCTGAAAAGCCCCACCTATGACCACATGAGGCTTTGGGGGAGCATCTAGACACAGCCATAACACTCACCCTAGGAAATGAGATGGTGATCTGCTGTAGCCCCCATATTTCACTATTTCCTGACATGGAAGGCAAGGAGAAATTACTGATGTTTCATGAAAGTTACACAAAGAAAGGGAACACTGAGGATTTGGCTCTGTGTGTGTGTGTGTGTGTGTGTGTGTGTGTGTGTGTCTGGATGAGAGAGACAACTGGCTACTGTGGAGGTCCAAGTTATCATTTTTTGAAGAATATGAGAAGGATAGTGCTTACAGCTAGAAAAATGAAGTCAGAAGAGTAAATTTAAGAGATAGCAACTTGGACAGCAGCAGTTAGAATACAAAGCAGCAACAGGTCTAGGTCTCAAGATTATGGCTATGTGGATGCAGGGATCAGAGAAATAGAAAGATCCAAACATGATCTACAGTTTGCACTATTAAATGAAACCTCAGCTTCACATTCCCTACAAAGACAGCACAGTGGACAAAATCATGGCTTAGGATCTGGTTTCTTATTAACTGAATGCTCTGGCAAGTTCTGAAACTTCCAGGAGCTTCAGCTTCCCTTTTGTAAAATAGACTCTGCTTTACAGCATGTTATGGTGTTGGTCTAAAATAGCACTCAAAGCCTCATGTGTTTGGATGGTATTTGGATTACAGAGGCTTTATAGTTGATTGGCTATTAGAATACTTGGGTCAATGTGGGTGTGACCTGAAAGGGTAGATCATCCTTTCTGGCTCTTCTTTTGACTCTCTCTGCTTCCTTGCCACCATGATGTGAGCAGCTTTTCTTCTGCTATGCTCCTCTGCCATGCTGTCCTGGTTTGAAGCCAAGGCACTAAGGCTTGAAACCTCTAAAAACCATGAGCCAAAATGAACCTTTCTTCCTTTAAGTTGTGGGTGTCAGGTATCATGTCTCAGTGATGAGAAAGTAACTAAGATACAACATTACAATAGTAAATTTGCACGATGTAGCACAGGTAAAGGGCTGGCACTGCCTCATCATGGTTAGCTTTTATTACTAACAGCCCATATTTATGGAGCACCTATGATGGGTAACACTGTGACCCATGCACGGATTTAAAGAGAATATAGATGTGACCTCTGTCCTGATGCCAGTCGTTGTCAGATACTGTCTCCAACATTGGGAGCCAGGAAGAAAGTGTTCATATGGAAAGGGAAGCAAGGAAAGAGAAGTGGCAAGGGAAGGAAAGGAAAAGAAAAAGAAGAGAACACAAGGAAAAAATGGAAACAAAGCTTTTGTATGTGGGGAGGGGAATAAGGGTGGAAGGGAGGGGAGGGGAATGGGGAAAAAAAGAAATAAGATATATTGTGTACAGGTACAAATTCCCTATGATGAATGTGATCACTATGTATATCAAAAGTGTACCAATACAATTAATTAAAGAAGAAGATACTGTTTCCTGTGGAGAGAACTGTCCTCAGCATCTCCTATAGTGCTTCTTTAGATGAACTAAAATGGTACCTCTCTTGATATGGGCCAAGGAAGAGTTGTGGAGTTCTACAGCTATATTTTTCCTTGTATGCTACCTTTACCTAATCATGCAGGGACTAACGTATTGTCAGAAAATAGACAACTTGCAGACCTATCTACAGCCCTACCTGGCAAGTCTCTAGCCCTGCTCACCCCTCGGAGATAGTGCTTATTTCTTTTTCTCTCTTCTTTCTCATGGCCTAATCAAAACAGTGAACCAAGACACCCTAGATACTTATTACATCAAAAAGGCCCTAAATATTCCTCAAGAAAAAAGCCCTCAGAAATACTCTATTTAAATATGTGAGTATAGTTTTAGGATGCTTCCTATATTTGAAGCTTGTCTACATCACCTGGATTTGTCCTACTATGGGACAGAGTTAGACGTTGTAAGGAAACTCTGACATTGCTTTATTCTTCTCTGCTCTCTTTCTTACACAACCACAGCAATCCCTCTACTTCCCTTTGTGGCTAAGATGTTTCAAGGACGGGAAGCAGTGCAGAAGACAAGCGTTTCCTCATAGAGCCTATTGGACCTTGGACCTGGGCTTCTGGACCTGGGGCCTAGAAGGTGGTAGAGGTGGACCATCAGAAAGACTCCAGGGTTCTTGACCAGGATGCTTTTCCCTAAGGACTCAGAAGGAGATTTGTCTTCCTTCTCCTCTAAGGGAGTGAGTGCCCTGTCAGTGGCAATTTTCTGGGTCACTAGATAGTTTAAGATGGCCAACTCCTTGGTTTCCTAAGGGCAGAGAAGCAAACAAAGAATAGGTCTCTTAATCTCCATAATAGGCTGTAAATGCAACAGAAAGTACAGAGGACAATTCTGCAGGTGAAAGGGAATTGCAAGGTAAGGGAGGAAATATCTGTATAATTAGCTGACATGTTTAATTTGAATGCGCAAGAAATTTTTGCAGTATTTGTGCTGAATCTTTGTACTCTTTTACTTTCTTCTCCTAATGCTGCTGAAATGAGATTTTGCCAGTTCCGCTATTTTCTCTCTGTTAACTTCCTGTTAACTGGTTCCATTTCAACAGATGGACTCTTTTGGATGGTATGTAGACCCTGGACATCTGCAAAGCTGGATGGTTTCGAGAGAGATGCCATCTCTAAGCTCATGAGCACAGAAACATCTGAACCAACTCCTGGCTTGCTCCCAAACCACCTGTTTCTCATACAGTTGTCTCATCTCACAGGTTAACCACCTTTTCAACTCAAACTGAACTTCAATCTAACAGGTTCTGAGATTTTTCTTTTTCCCTACATACAAACTAGTTCTGATTAAAACAACAAGAACAACAAAATACATCTGTGAAAGTTCTTTTACGGGCAGCACTGGATGAAAAACCATAGGGACTTAAGGAGTAGGGTGGTTAGGAGGCTCCCTAGCTAGAGGAAAGGTTCAAATTCAGATGGCTACCATGTGTTGCAGGCCCTCACAGTTGTTTATGATTAATCTCAATTGAGAACTTTGGTCTGGGGAGTCCCTGGCTTCTTTTGTGGTCATGGTTCATCCTTGAGACTGTCAGACCACAGGTCCCAAGGACAGGGTCCTTTGTGACTCTCTAGGCAGAGGCAGGAACAGCCAGAGTATGGCAGTAATGAAAGTGACTGTGAAATAATAGAAGATGTTTATAATTATGACTCTGGGCCTACTGAAGAATCAAAGAAAAATAAACCTCATATCTATTCATGATCCATGTCATCCTGCTTATAAACTAGACTTGAGGCAAGGTTTAATGAAAGATAAATGTAAAGTATAATTTTGAAAACAGGAACAGGAGATCAAAAACTATATACAGGAAAGGGAAAAAACATAAAAAACCTACATGGATGTAACTGGATATAACTACTGTGATGGAGTATGACAGTTCAGAAATCCCTGCTAGCTCAAGGAAAAAGAAAAAAAAGTCAACAAATTACTCTTTAGGACAGACAGACTTTCTCTTGGCTAATACTGTCCTTGTAGATCCTGAAATAAATTCGCAATGTGGAAGTTATGCAAAGGGAATCCAATAACATAGCAAACTATGCCTCAATGGTTCTTACAAAACAACCTAAATATTTCTTACATAAGCATTCCCATGTTTTCTCTTAGTAATAGTTTAAATACAACCATTAAAAATACTTAGTTGACACTGTGGAAATCAGTATGGAGATCTTCAAAAAACTAGGATTAGAGGTCCAATTTGACCCAGCCATCCCTCTGCTGGGTATCTTCCCAAAAGAATGAAAAGAATCATACCAAAGTGATATATGCACACCCACATTTATAGCAGCATAGTTTGTAATAGCTAAAAATTGGAAACAGCCCAAATGCCTGTCAACTGGAGACTGGATAAAGAAGATGTGCATTTTCTATAAAATGGAGTACTACTTAGTCATAAAGAATGAGAAACTAGAATCATTTATAGCTAAATGGATGCATATTGAGGCCATACCCTTAAGTGAAATAAATAGGACACACATGTGTAAATACCGAATAATTTCTCTGGTGTGAAAAACTAAACGTATAAATAAGGTTAAAATCATATAATTGATAAGGTGAAGTGGGAAGAAAGGGGCTAAACGAGTAGGGGAAGTGGGAGGGCCGGGAAAAGGAAAGAAGGGAAAGGAAAAAATATGAGGAAAGGAGAAAATGGAAACAAAGTCTTTATAAATAGGGAGGGGTGGAGGGGGTGAAGGGAGGGCAGGGGAATGGGGAAAAAATAAGAACCAAAATACAGCATGTAAAGGCACAAGATCCCAATGATGAGTGTAACTGTACTGTACACCTAAAAAGTACCAATAAACTTAATACAAAATAAAAATACTTAGTTGAAGTTCTACCTCAGGGGGGTAAAAACAAAATAGTAATTGTCATTAAGTAATAGGGAGGGCGAGGAGTGGTTAGCAGAATGCTGCTAACTGTTGAAATTAGGTTGAAGGTACTTGAAGGCTCATCATACCATTCAATTTACTTGGTATATATTATAATTTTTCCATAATAAAATATTTGCAAAAAATAGGTGAGAGTATTTGGCAGCCAGGGAAGTTAAGGCAATGTGTCATCCACCAAAGACCATGTTTTATTTGGTAAGATTTAAAGTTAAATAGATAGGACTTTATTCTGGAGCTTTGGAAATTAGTTATCCAGGTTGTAGTACACTTGGTAATACGTAAGCCTAGCCCCCAAGCATGGCAGGTTTTTCTACATGAGTGTGCACATTCCCAGCCGAGCACAGTAGCAGGTTACCGACAGCTCTAACAAGGACTGGAGGAGAACGGCAGATTGAGATACCTTCACTGCAGTTCTTCAGGGCAAAGAAGTCCACCGCAGACAGACTTCGGTTTCCACTGGAGATGTATTCCAGGGCCACTCGGAAGGGGTTCTCTAGGCGCCCGATTCTTCCGTGCAGCACTGTCCAGCTGTGTGCATTGGAGATCAGAGGAGGAAAGGACAGAGAAAGAGTGATGAGAAGCAGGCCTCACCTGAACACAGGGTCATGCTCCTGTGGTGACTGTGGGGCTCAGGGTTCGTGGGCACCCTGGAGGTGCTGGGGCGGCTTCCCTGAGCGCAGGGCGTAAACTTCCGTCTTCTCGTCCAGCTGACTAACTTAGGGACACCATTCTGGAACTCATCCAAGACGTTCGCATTTCTTTTGCCACAGTATTTTAAAATCAACTGCAGATCTTTAAACTATTTCAGTAGCTCGTCTTATAAGGGAAGCCTATGCATACTAGAGAAAACTCCGCAGCAGAGTCCAGGAAAAGTCTCCAAAATATTTACCAGTCTATTCATAATTACCTCTGGAAAGAATACTTGGTTTCTGGAGTTTTATCTGATACCACAGTCTCAGTACTCTCAGGTTTAGTATATAGTTACTTAAGGGAAGCTAGCAGGAGTTTTTTATTTATTGCAGGAAAATTAAAGTGCACTGAAGCATGTATATGGGGGTAAAGGGTACCTAAGATTGACATGGACTTTGCAAAAAAGTGCAAACAGAAGAAGATGGAAGCAGGTCAGATGGTGAGCTCTACGTCCATCTGTAATCAAGGACACTGACACCATCAGAGAGCAGAGAATAAGCTAAATGAACATTTTTACACCTCGCTCATGCTATTAACCTCTTGCCGCCTCTCACTGATTGGAATATCAAATTTATTCTTTCAACATTTATATATATTTTATA